ATTTATGGGATAAAGTGCTCAATATCAGAGATCGGGCGTGTGTAAATATAAAAGTGAACATAGAAGTCAACACTTAGAGGCGACAGTCTGTTTCATGCTATATGCAATCGTAAGGCCACATATGCTGTTATTTTTCTCGGCTATTTATATATATACGGGTAGTGGTGCATTGTGGGTATTCTATTATGGCGGTTATTTTTTACCGGAAGTCGCTTTGTTTATTTATTTGGGTCAAATTATATTGCTCGTTTTTATTTTTTGTTTCTTATTTTATTTATTTATTTATTAACGTAGTAAAAATTTGTTTATATCACGTATTTAACAGTTTTGTTTTGGTTTGAGAATTTAATTAAAGCTATTTGTTCAATTTTGGGGTTGGTTGTTGTAGTTCATTCTATTATTTTTTTGGCGGGAACAGTTTTTAATTTGGGATTGGTTTGTCTATTTATTTACTTGGATGAATTTAGGTCAATTTATTTGTATATTTTCTCTTTTCGGTTTTTTAGCAACATAGTATTTATTTTATTTTATTTATTTATTTATTTTTTTATTAGTGTATTTGTTTGTTTTTATTTTATTTTTTCCGTTTTTCATTTTTTAGGTTACGTAGTAAAAATTTATTTTCGTGCCTGCATTTTGAGATGAGCTTGGATTTATTATTATGGTTTTATCGACTGAATCTATCTTACACATTTAGAAATCTAGCATTTGTTCATGCATGGAATATTGCGTACATATCCGGCACGATGGTTCTGCTATATATTTAGAGTTTCTGGATAAAATTCAGAGATGAATCTGCAATGTTATAGATCCTGACCTGTCATCTCAGTTTCAGATGCTTCCCAGTACCTTTTCAGTAAATATTTTCAGGGTAATTGTTCGGATGCGCTTACCTCTTTGCTACTTTACGAATATAAGCGCAGTACCAGAATGGAAGTTAAAATGCCGAGATGTAACCGTAAGTTCTATGCTAACAGTTTCTTCTCTCACGCTCCTCCCTTGTGGAATTCTATTTCGGCTTCTTTCTTTTATCGTCAACTTTGATCTTCAAAATTCTAAATGCAATGTAAGTCGTTACCTTCTGTATTTTTACTTCCTGTTTTTTTTTTATTGGTCTCTGTTTAATAATGTTCTTTTCTTTTTCTCATATTCTTTCATACGCAGTAATCCTTTGCATCTTAGAGGCTTTATTGTTTTGCTTGGATTGAAACGTATAAAAATATATGTAGATAGATAGATAGATAGATAGATAGATAGATAGATAGATAGATAGATATGAACAGAATGAGATAGATAGATAGATAGATAGATAGATAGATAGATAGATAGATAGATGTGCACGCTCACCGGGGTTCCAATTGCTTGACGCCTTCCCTTCTGTCTTTGTTTGTCATGACCGTGCCATAAAGATGATAGATTTCCATTATTTCAGGCGAGGACCCAGATTATTTACATACATTTACTTGACATATACTAATTGCCTTGGCATACATACATGCGAAGTATATATATATATATATATATATATATATATATATATATATATATATATATATATATATATATCAGTTTAATTTTGAAGGATTCATCTTTTTACATACTGCAAAACCTCGTCTATTCATCTCAAGCTGTATTTCTGTCTATATATCTCATTCCGTTCATACCTATTTATCCATCCATGTATCTATCTATGTATCGCACTCTGTTCTTATCAATCTATCTCATTCTTCTCATTCATATATATATATATATATATATATATATATATATATATATATATATATATACATATATCAGTTTTTGTTCATACCTCATCTAAATATCTATCTCATTCTGTTTATATCTATCTATCCATCTATCTGTTTCATTCTGTTCTTATCTATTTCAGTCTGTTCCTATCTATCAATCTTCTCATCTCTCTGTCCCTCTCTCTCTCTCTCTCGCTCTCTCTCTCTCGCTCTGTCTGTCTGTCTCTTTCTCTATATATATATGGAGAGAGAGAGTCATGAGAATACAGATAGATAAGAATTTACTATATATATATATATATATATGTGTGTGTGTGTGTGTGTGTGTGTGTGTTTATGTGTGTATGTGTATATAACCTGAAACTAAATTCATTAATCTATCTCCATAACTGCCCATATCGCCGTATGTTACATATTTCTAATAAATAGAAGAAGAAGCGATTGTGTAATTGAGATAGATAGATAGATAGATAGATAGATAGATAGATACTGAATAGACATAGATAGATAGATAGATAGATAGATAGATAGATAGATAGATAGATAGATAGATAGATTATGTGTGCGTGAGAGAGAAGGAATTAACTAGAGAATAAAAAACAAATCCTAACATTAGCCATCTCAGATTTTGCAAGCATGCAAATCGCCTACAAATGCATATGAAGACAAATGTTCACACTGGGGTATGGATGTTCACACATTTTTCTCTTCCGTACATTTTCTTCTTGAGAAATGACAGCAAATATGTGAATAAGTTCAAAAGACCGCCTTTAATGCTGGGTTATCATTGGCCAATCTCAAAATTTCTCTCTCCCGGCGTCGTCTGCCATGCTGGCATCAATATTCCAGAGAACTTCCCTCTTACAATAAGGAATGTACTGTCGCAGGGTTAGAATCTCTGCGGCCGTGTATCTGCCAAAGCCCCCTTTATGTGAACTCCCCAAGCACAGATACTTCACATTGATCTCGTATTTACTCACCCCCCCACAACCCATGATATCGGGATGAGAGACGAGATCGTTTTAATGTTGGTTGCCTATACGCGTACATATAGACAAAGACCCCAAATTAGGCTACCACTGGTCACACTGATGATGGTATGATGCTGTAGGCTCGGAACACCCTGGACTTTTCACCCCTCATAATTTTAAGAGGACAGATACTACATTTTCATCCGGTAGTTACTCTCGAACAAACATACAAAGGAGGGATGCGTCACAAGATCGTTTTGAATCCTTAACCCCCATACGTGTACATGAGCTAAGCCCCCAAATTTTCATGTCCTCGCGACCACTGCTACTCTGGTTTAGGTATCCATCAGCAATTCCTTCTTTAGTGCAATGAGGGAGGTGATGCTGTTGGGTTGTAATCTACGGAATGAGACGTCCCTTATAATTTTAAGATAGAACAGATACTACACTTTGATCCGTTATTTACTCGTCCAAGTTGGCGGGATGTGGCACGTGATTTTAATGTGGGTTGGCCATACGGGTATGGAATTGGGATAAAAATTACTCAACCCCGCGACCCCTCGAGTTGGTATCCACCAACCCTTTTTATTTATTTTAATAATGAAGGGTTGAAATCCTCGCGGCAACACACCCCTCATTTTCTATGAACTGTCTGAAAACAAAAACGATATTCAGTCACCACCCCCCACGAGGGTGTCATGTGGCACAAGGCCTTTTTAATGTGGGCATTCCGAGCCCGTGGGCTCGGCCAAAAATATGCCCATTGAACCCGTATAAACGGATTCAGGGCCGGTTTTACCTCCCCGAAGGAGACTCCGCCCTTCGGCGTAGCCTCCTTCGGGTTCCTCTCGTCCGTAGGAAGAGAGTTTAACCGAACAGTTGCCCAGAAAGTACTGGGTCGACTGACTCCTGAAAACAAAAACACGACATAAACGTGAAAAACCGATCCTACACTTTGATCCCAGGCCGAAGGCTTGTCTTGAATGACGATAAGGTATCAGTGACTAAACGATAGAAGAAATAGTGGAGGTTAACAAGACACAACCGGTCAAAATGCAGATTAATCTGACAACTCATAAAAGTAACCCCAATATGAATTAATTCCACCAGAAAATAAGCATAGCTTCAGACATCTATCTAAAAAATATTTATCGCGGTGCAAGTTACTTGCTAAAAGTGGGAAAAATTTTTTAAAAAAGAAAATACTGATGGACTGCTGTCAGTAGAGGCGCGTAGAGATGGGTTATGACTAATTGTATCTATGTTCATTTCAGCGCACCATACATTTTTGTAGGCAGCATTCTCTGCTATATGTGATTACCAACCGACAAAAGCATGTCAAGATCCAATAACACTAATCTGTTATCGTCATATTTCTTGTCTCATCCATCTTATCTCCCTCTTTCTCTATCTCTTTATACACACATGCGCGCGCACACACACACACACACACATATACATATATAAGGATAGCGAGAGAGAGAGAGAGAGACAGAGAGAGAGAGAATTAAAACAGGTGAAAGGTTTGTGACTTAGCTGATTGGTATTAATTTAAGCATCCCAACTTCAGATTATCGGAGACAGACCCATTAGGAAATACTCCATCCACTCGTCAGGGTCATCAGCAACTGACTGCTTATACTTCCCGCTTTTTTATTTTTTATATGCACTTTTCATTGTTGCATGTTTTTTTCCATGGTGTATATGTGTGTGCTAGTGCGGGTGTTCATTCACGCGCATGCGCCATGCGTACGTATCGAATGTCATGATTATTTCCCCTTCTCGTTGTTTTTTATTTTTCACTTTACTCGCACACCTAAGCGTTTTCTCTTTTTCTCCTCTTTTTCTTCTTTTCTTTCAGTTGTAGCTATTTTGACTTCGGTTTTCTAGACATATACTCGTTGTTAATCATAAATAATATATATATATATATATATATATATATATATATATATATATATATATATATATATGTCAAATATGTGGTACATTTCAATTTATATTATAATGAATCATTCATACAAAAAGTAGATTAGTAAAGTTCATGATATAAAATGGCGAAATATTTTCACAAACGATTTTTGCGAAAAAAATTTGTTTGCGAAAGGATTTCGCCATTTTAAATCATTAATTTTATTAATCTACTTCTTGTATGAATGATTCATTGTAATATATATATATATATATATATATATATATATATATATATATATATATAATTGCTGATACCCACTAACGAGTGCCAGAAAGTTAATAGTTTAAAAAGTGGTAGGTATTGCTGCCACACTCTATATTACAGCTTACTTTTCACTGTTCTTAAAAGTGATATAGGTCTAATTTAAGGAAAATTCCTTAACGTCCTTTACGGAGAAAGTTTAGGAAATAAATTACTCCATAAAATATGACTAAATACGCACACATCAGAATTTTAAAAAAAAAAGAATAGCCAAACCAGTTCTTTAAAAAAATTACATTTGTCATGCCACATAAAAAAATTATCATTAAAATGCTTTCACAGAATCAAACCTGTTGAGAATGAAGGCGGTCGGATGCTTAATAATAACCAATTAGCAAAAACCCCGACAAACACTCAACATTATCCGAGTCATATCTGAGGCTCAACATCCTGTGTTCTGTATCTCTGTTACTGTTAATATCTATCACATTAATTCTGAAAGCTATTTCCTCCAAGTACTTAAAACTACAACAAAAAAATACACACACACACACGCACGTACACACATTCATATATATATATATATATATATATTGACTGACAAACTCCTACAAAAAAAATTCCCAAATTGACATATTAGTAAAAAAAAAACGCACACCCTTAAATTTTCAAAAAAAAAAAAAAAATTTCAACCTTAGCGTTGCGACTGCACGCGTCAAAAGTTTTCATCTGTTAACAATAGCACATTTCTAAAAAAACATATTTCGATTCACATTTAATCTTTCGTCTTTGATGCTACCTGGATTTACTAAAAACAAAATAATTTCCATGCCTGAGGATGACTGTATGTACAGTTGAAAGTACTTGCAGATTTAAAAAAAGACCTTATACAACTTGTAGTTATTAAAAACAAGGATCATAACATTCATCGAGTGGTTCGTAGGGTAATGCAAGATTTTTCGCCATTTTATATCATTAACTTTACTAATCTACTTTTTGTATGAATGATTCATTGTAATATATATATATATATATATATATATATATATGCTACCAGCAAGCAGAAAACTTTTGTTCTCCTGACCATGACCATGTTGGCCGAAACTAGTCGAGGAATCTAACTGAAATAATAATAAAAACGAAAGACAATCCTGTGGTCTGAAGATTTTAATTTTTAATATTTTTCATTGTTCAAATATATATATATATATATATATATATATATATATATATATATATATATATATATATATATATATATATATATATATATATATATATATATATATATATATATATATATATATATATATATATATATATATATATATATATATATATATATATATATATATATATAGAGAGAGAGATAGGTACGTGGCTAGAACATTTGCTTTCCGACCACGAGACCCTGGTCTGAATCTCACCATGATTGATTTGTCGGTCTGCAGAATGATGTACCTTTGGAAAGTTCCCATCAACCATACCACGGGTTGACCTAAGCCTTGCGGGTGAAATTAGGTAGACGATGTCATCGTAACCGATGGTTTGTCGATTGTCCGGACTGTTGATCACCCTCGATAAAGCGATCTCCCAGAAACTTTAACTTAAGTCTGCTCAGCATAGTCGCAGTATAGACCATAGGTGGGCTCCTGTGGGTGCTGAACAAACACAAAAAATGCACTTGGGCAGTAGTAGACGGTTATCCTGGTATATACTAGCCAACCATTAGCGTTAATATATATATATATATATATATATATATATATATATATATATATATATATATATATATATACTATTAGCGTTAATATATATATATATATATATATATACATGTTAAATTAAAAACGACAGACAAGGTACTACGGTAGAGCTTTTTATTTAATTTTTCTTGTGTTCGAACAAGAGCTTTCTTTTCTGGACAAAGAGTGTGTAAAAATTGTCCAAATGTTTTATAGTTCCGAGCACTTTCGGCTATACCTTCAGCCATTATCAAGGATGATTCAATTTTTTAGCATAATTGAGTGTGTGCATTATGTGTATGTTTTAGTGTGTTGTAGGGATGTTTTTAATTTCCGAACACGGTTACCACATTGTGACACATTTCGTAGTAAATATTGCATTTTTTTTTCATTTTTTTTTTTACAGGTGGATTATAAGTCATTATATTTGGTTTTCTACTAGTAGAAAACAGTTTTTACGCACTGTTTGTCCAGAATAGGAAGCTCTCGCTCGAACACAAGAAAAATTAAATAAAAAGCTTAAGCGTAGTAACTTGTCTGTCGTTTTTAACGAAACATGCATAAACAAAGGATTGCTACCTAAATATACAACTATATATATATATATATATATATATATATATATATATATATATATATATATATTAAATTAAAAACGACAGACAAGGTACTACGGTTAAGCTTTTTATTTAA